AAGAAATAAAATTTTTACAGCCATGACAATTAGCAAAATTATTGGACTTACTCTAAATTAAATATTTAAGTTGACTTTAACAGGTTAAAAGGTTTCAGTATTTTAATTACAAATACATTGTGTAGTGTGCATCAAAAATCTAAGAGAACAATATGAATTTACGAGATATACAATAAACGCAATAAAGACAAGTCTTGGTTCTACTACATTTTATGTACGTCTCGTTTACAATTGCCCCCATACCTATCGGGTCCCAATTCTGGCACCACTTGGCTGTGATATTACCCTCCATCCCAAAATATTTGTCAGATTTCGCAATTGTAATATTTTAAGAATAGTGGATTGATAGTAATTAGTGGATTTGTTTTCAAAATTACTCTAAAAATTTTCAAAATTTAAATTTGAATTTAGTATGAAATATAGATAAAGGTGTGGATAACACTAAGAGAACAGATCAAAAGTACTTTTGACTTTAATAAGATAACAAGTATTTGGGAACATTCCAAAATAAAAAATATGATACTTTCAATGAGATGAAAAAAGTATTATATTACGAATGATGATGTGGTACCTCAATTTTTTTTTTGGATCAATCGCCACACATCTACACCTACTACTAACGCACGGAGAATGGGATAGATCCAATTAGATCATCGAGAATCCAAAGAGGACTAAACTGTCATTGGATTATATGAATGCATTAAACACCCGCTATATCTAAGAGAAAGCCATATTTAATAGCAATTATAAAAGACAAAACTTGAATCCTTGATATCCCACCAACAATAGCGTTTAAATGCCTTGTGGTGGCCAAGTCACCTTGGTGACGTGGTTGCGTGGTAGCTCAATCAGCAACCAAACCAATAGGTTTGAGCAAATGAGGTTCAAAGGTCTCAAACCGCTACCTCTACTGTGGCTGACAAACGATTTCCCACCTTTGCCATATTGACTTTTTGTGATATTAAAGGCAATTTATATTGATTTAACATGTTTTTGACACACTATTCAATCTTTTTCTCTTCAATTTCTTTGTAAGAATTAAAAAATAGTTATGAACAATAAAATTATACGCTTGTGAAACAATATAATTAACAAATTTATTACTAAATGACTTATAAATCATCCTCATAATAATGTGCACTTTACTAAATAATAATTTGCACCTTAATAAAATGTGCACTCTGATGAACATAAATAATCATTCGAATGCACACCTACCGATTAATAAGCACATTATAGTAGTACTTTTCTGCAAAATTAAATAGAATAACTAATTGTAAGATAAAATTAACCTAAAATGCGATGCATTGTCTATATGTAAATTTTTTTCATAAGTGTTTTGAAAATATTTATTTTAAGTTATACTTATCTAAAAATATATTAGTGAGGTTATTAAAGCTATGTAATTATATGTTGACACTGCAAATATATTATTTTTTTATATGACAAAATAATTGCGAGTACATGGAAAAAAGATAGGCACGTAATCAAATATTTGTTTGTGTGTGCACAAACATTTTCTAATAATTTAAAATACTATATTGTGTTAGTACAACACAATATGTAAATTTATCTATTCCACTATATCTAGAAGAAAAAAATGGTAGGAAGTAGCATATATTCAACGTACTAACTGTATTTCATTTTTGCAGAAAATGTATTAATATAATGTACATAATGTGTACAATTTTTTAATGGAATGTACTCAACTTATGTGGATAATGTACCATTTATTTTTATGAACCTTAACACTATTGCATACTGTGAAAAAAAAATTGGGGGGCTAAAATGTCACATGTTTAATTGGTTATTTAAACATAATATTTTTTTTTATATTGCAAAATTCAAGTACATCACATAAAACGTTGGGTACATTATTTTAATTTGTATGTGCCCTAATGTAACATAACTTTTTTTGTGATATACAATAATTAAGGTATATACGAACAAATGTTACATTATGGCATAATTCAAGTACATTACATACAAACATTGCATGTGTTATTGACATAACTCAAACAAAAAAGAATAGGGGAAATGAGGCAGTGGTGGGGAAGGAGTGGGAGGTTGGTGGGGGAAGCGGGAGAAAGGAAGGGGGCGAGTTGGTGGTACGTGGAAAGAGGTAAGGGGACGAGGGATGAGGGAGGTAAGCGTAGTGAAAGGGTAGCAAGATGGGGGTAGTAGGAGAGCTTAAAGTGTGACCTCTTCTTCTTTTTTAAAAAATGTTTTTCCTTGCAAGGGAAGGGTGGAACTTAAAGTGTGGAAGGGTAGGACAATGGATTCGAACCTTAATCACTAGATCAATGCCTCTTGGGTGAGAATGACTTCTTTTGAGATGGAAGTTTATCATTGTTCTAATTCTTTTCTTCAAGGTGAGGCTAGGATGTGCAATAGGTACAATTTGTTTTTTCCCTTTTTTGATTCTAGGGATGGCCATAGGCCATTAAATAGGTATTAAACGAGGTGTTGCAACACCTCTTATATCTAAAGAAAGCAACGACTTGATTCAGCACGGTGGACTGCTGAACTCTGTTAAACCAGCTGGCAAATTTAAGCTCATCCTAGCATCGTGGTCTGCCCACGAGTTACTCTCCCTCAATACATGCAACACCTCTTAAATAGGTACATTTGTTACATGTGACGTGAGCAATTATTTTTCAATGTCTAAAATGTGAGGGACCAAGAAATTTTTTTTTTTTTTAAGTGTGAGGGACCATTTTATTCAATTTTTCTTTATAGTTTACCAAAAAATTAAGGAATGATTACAATTTATCCCCCTAAGGTATATCCTGAATCTCACTTTACTTCCTAACCTTTATTTTAGTCACTTAATCCCCGAGAGATAAAAGTACCCCTCTACTATGGTGATTTTTTCTTTTAGTTTTCTCTCCTCTTTTTTTTTATTCCAAATTAGTTTTTTTTTTCAAACTTTTATTTTAATCAATGACAAAGCTTCTCTAACAAAAAAATTTAGGATGTCGATTCTCCAATCTACAATATTGAAGAAACTATATATATATATATATATATAATTATTTAGTTAGAAATCAATTTCATTCATCCTCTAATTTCAGAAATTTAAGAAAGCATTTGTATTTTTTCCCTTATAATTAAACAATTTAAAATTAGTTACCCATTTTTTACAATCACACGTTCACGTTCAGGTATTTGGATATTGTTTTCTCTCTAATGGATTTTTGCTTATTAAGTTCTTTTCTTTGCCATTATTTTTATAATAATCAATTGGTAGTTTACTCTCATGCATGTAGACTCTTCTTATGTGAAACTTTATCCAATCAATTAAAGGATTCAAAATAGACGAAGCATAGGTTAAATTTCATTGGAAAAGAAAGTAAAAATTTTAAAATAAAATTTTATTATAGTAGTGGATACTTTTGTCTCCTAGGGGATTGAGTGACAAAAAAAAAATGTTAAGGGGCAAAGTAAGAATTAGAGTATACCTTAGAGGGATAAATTGTAATTAACCCAGAACTTAATCTATACAACTTTGTCAAACAGAGAGTTCTTTAGCAATACACATTGAGTTTTCACTAATAAATCTACAAAATTTCACTTTTTGTGGGCACTTCAATGTTGATCAGACAAAATAGTCAACCTCTTTCTACAGACAAGTTTTCAAAAGCTACATTTTACCCAATCACTTGAGGCAAATGCTATAGTCACCTATTTTATGGTTAGTCTGTGCTGTTCATTTTCAAGCCACATTTAGTCTAATATACATTTGCATATTTCTCAATTCAAGATCAAATTATATGACATTAACACCAAAAGCATGCTTATTAGGTTATCGTTCGATTACTGCTGAAGTGTGAGCCAATAGCACAGCAAGACACCTATCAATACTCATTGTCATGATCTCAGCTTAAGGTTTTGTGTGGGAAAGAGAAAATAGAGAGAAATGGAGCTGCTAGCTTGTTTAGAGAAGTTGGTTCCAGTCATAGTATGGGGACACTGAACAAAGCCGCCATGAATAAAGTAATGAGTAACTTGATACGGAGTACATGTTTATTATTATATTGGTCTTGGTACTATCATACTTCCTCCCATCATCATATTCACGTACATAAATCTTCCTTCAGTGTAATAATTTAAACAAGTTCTCTTGAAAAAGGTCTCAAATGAAGAAAGCTCTTTATGTTTCTAAGCCTTTCTTTTGTTTTTCCCCCTTTTTATGGCTATTATTATAGTGAGTTGAAATTGATGCCTGATTGTTTCTTTGTCTTTGTTTTGTTCTGTCGCCACTTTCTTAGTTTCCTTTCTCCATAAGCTAATTCATTCTGATGTTTGCTATCAGATGGAAAGGAATAAATCTGATTTTCTTACTACTACGGAGATATTGTGTACTTGGCTTACTTGGGTAAAGTATTATCTGGATCAATATGAATCCACTTGTTTTTTTCTTTGTCTCCTCCCGATAATCATCTACTCCACATACTTAACATATAAAGGAAAATAGGGGAATTATGTTATAATTGCAGAAGCTTCTAACATGTTTTTGTACCACAAATGGTCTACCAAGTTGTTTTTTTTTTTGTCGAAACGTTAGCTTTATAGAAGTACTAAAAAATTTACAATATTTGGACAAAGGTCCAATCATCAGGACAATAGTCCTACCAAAACATTAGTGCCTAGCACCTCAAGTTAGGATTCACCCATTCCTCATCTACAAGGATGTTTAGAGCATGCATGCTCAACTTGATACTTCCTACAAATCCGGATTCAACAAAAGAGAAAGAACACTTTTGGAACAAATTATTAATGTATTGTATATCCTCCACCAGAGTAGCCATCTGTTGGTTACTGGTCCTTGTATGTTTTATGCACTCTACCAGCTCCCTATCTTCCAGCTCCACTTTTATACTCGTCCAGCCTTGACTGATTGCATTCAGTAGTGCAAGCCCCACCGCACCAGCTTGGTCTTGCTTTGTGTCTCCAGACATTCTTTCTCTTAATGCCCAGATTGCTTGTAGATTACCTGCCTAGTCAGTAGCAGTGATTCCAATCCCCACCATATGTTGCCTTCTGTCTTGGTGAGTGTGGACCTTGATCATCATCCTGGCTTGATTCTCTCTCTGGCTTTGATCTTGCTCAACACGTTCCAGTATTTCTGTTCCCTGGGTGTTCTTCCTTGTCTCCTTCCCTCTGTTAGCCTCATCAAATTCCATCCATCCCTTCACTGCCTTTTGTATTACCTTATGAGGTTCCTTTTCCTTGTATTCAAACTTCCTCTCGTTTCTGGCCTTCCAAATCTGCCAGAGAATATTTATGGTGAGGTTCACTTGGTCCTCCCCTCCTCTCTCTTCTTGAGCTTCCATGATTGCAGTCCACCATTTGATGAAACAGTTTGATGTATGCTGTATTCCATCCCATTGTACAGGCGATAGCTTCCATACTTCCTTTACTTTGTTGCATTGGAGCAGCAGGTGTTCTATTGTTTCTTCCTCTTCTCCACACGCTGCACATTTAGGATTTCCTTGCCTTGTTCGTCTGTGAATTTCACCTCTCACTGGGAGACCTCCATGCAGACATTTCCATATAAATATTTTCATTTTTTGGCACACTTTCTGCTTCCATACTGCTTTCCAAACTCTCTTGATAGATCCTTCATAGCTTGTCCCAACACCATCCCTCCTTCTTATACTTTCCAGCTCCTTTTTCTTCATCTATTTCTTATATCCAGATTGAGTAGTATATTGACCATTTTGAGAGTGTACCCAGTAGTGACCATCTTCCTTCCCTGTAAAGCTTATAGGTATCCTCAGTATCCTTTCAGCATCTTGTTGGCTGAAAATTCTGAATATCAAAACAGCATTCCATATGTTGTTGACGATAAGATCTTACACAAGCTGAAATTGACACCCCGGTGGCTTTAGTGTAGTTGGTTTCCCACTTTTGCTGTCTGGAATCCAACAGTCTTCCCAGATTCTCGTTGCCTTGCCATTTCCTATCTTCCTCTTGACACCATTCTGTACTTCTTTTTGCATATCAGCTAAACTTTGCTAAATCCAGGAGGCATTTTGAGGGACCTTACTGGTGAATAATGATTGCCTGGGGTAGTATTTTTCCTTCAGGGCTCTACTGACTAGCAAGTTTGGTTGTGTTAATAACTTCCAAACTTGTTTGCCCAATAAAGCTCTATTGAACCCTTGCAAGTCTTTGAATCGCATGCCGCCCTTACTTCTTGATTTTGTCATCTTTCTCCAGCCAATCTGTCGCGCCCCACTTTTTGAGGTGTGAAAATAGTGTGTAGGATATGTATGTGAACGTGTGTGAAAGTAAAAATAAAAGGCCGTGGGATTGTGAAATGCGACGGTTTGGCCAAACAAAGGGTTTTAGATAAAAAAAAAGGAGTCGCCACTTGGTATAGAGTTAGGGTGTACCAAGTTACCCAAAAAGTGATTTTTGTTTTTGGAAAGAAAAGTAAACAACCCCTTTTTAAAGAATTTTTTAGATCTACGTAACCAAAGAAAGGGATCGGGGGTCACATTTGATAAGGGAGAAGGCAAAGACAAAGCCTAAGGCACTCCCTTATCCTAGCCAAAGTTAGTTGCGTGACTTAGTCCTTCTTTTCCTAATTCTTCTACCCAAAATATGTGTTGCATGTTGGATGTGACTAATGGATATGAAAAAAATGCAATCCTAAATCTAAAATGTCTCTTATGAGGCTTTTTGGTTCCAATCACATGAGTTGTGATGGCCAATAAGAAAAACTCTCATAGAGGTCACGGATAATGCAAATGAAGACCCAAATATGAGTGCAAGTGTGAAAATGTAAGGAAAGTGCAAGTGTGCCAATTGAGAAAAATGAAGGTGTTTGTGTGCAAGTGGATGAAAATATGGTATAATAGTAATAAATGCATATAAGTGCAACTGAGTGCAATTTGTGAGGTAGAAAATAAATAAGTGATATGGAAAGAAGAAAAAAGTGCAAACATGGCATGTGGATTGAGAAAAAATATAAGTAGTAAGAGAATGTGGATAAAAAAAATGAGGGAGTGATATGATAAAAATGAGAGTGTATGAACCTAGAGGAATGCATCAAGTCGGGTATAGGAATGATTCCTAACTTTGTGATTTTAATTTTCCCTTTGATAGAGGGAATACAAGCGTGCTAAGGTTTAGAAAAGCCACACTCGTTTATATCCCATATTTAAGGGGTAACTTTCAAGCAAATGTACCCTATAACTAGCATGGAGATGCAAAAAGTCTAAAATGAAAGGGAAAGGGTTGGAGGGACATGCCAAATGCTAGAAAATTAAGAAAAATGCATGAAATGTAGTGAGACATGCAAAGTATGTACTAACGAGAGGGGACGGCCTATTGGGTCTAGCATTGGACTAGCCCTTTTCTAAAATTCTCTCACAAGCATTGGACTTGCGAGAGCTCGAGGGGAAAAACCATGACCAGCGTTGGACTAGCCACGGTGACGCGCGTTGGCATCTATTGTACAAATATATAAGCAATGTGCATAATTAAAGCAAGTAGACATGTGAGCACGTAATTCACATAACACATAAGCATGCATATCTAGATGCCAAAACCTAAGAAAACGATTAAACACATAGCACCTAGGCATGCAAAACACATAAGGCAATTAAGGCCCTAACTATTACATTTTTAGGGGGGAGAACCTACTACACTCTAAAAGGGGAAATAAAATAAAATAAATAATAAAAAGAAATACCTAACTATTACAAATTTGGCATTCAAGTGCCTTTCAAATGATAAATATACAAAACTAAAGCCAATAAAGTAAATAAATAAATGAATGAAATAAATAAATAAACATCCCAGAGGCATGCAATTAAACACGTAAAGTCATGTAGGGCACGTAGGGTCAAATAAAGTGAAAAATAAGGGATAGGGTATACCTCCCTTGAGTTGGGGCCGTAATGGAGCAAAATTACTTATTTACCCTCCAAAACAAAAGAAAAGGTCAAGGCATCTCAAATAATCACGTTAATACGAAATTGAATCATTAAATGCATTCAAATGCCTAAAAAGCCCATATTCACAAGATTAGGACCCAATTAAAAGGGAAAAGAAAGTTTGAGGGATCAATTTGATGGATTTTTCAATTGCTTAGGTCATAGTAGCATTAATAGAAATCAAGGGGTGAAAAGGCAATTATTGGAAGCTCTTTCATGCAAGTTCATGCAACTACGTAGAAGCCTAAGTTTCTGCAACAACCTTGCTGCATGTTCCTAACACAAATTTCAGACTTAAGTACGCAACCTTTAATCAAAGCTTTTCAACAGAAAACATAACTTCAAGTTAAACAATGAAACACACAACTACCACAATCTGAACAAACAAGAAAACTAATAAGGAGACCAAACATTTTTCCCTTTTTTGGAATACGAAACCCAGAAAATAAAACATTCAAGTGCTAAAAAAAAATCCAACAACTTTGGTTTATTCTCCTGGTTCATGTTTTATGGCATAACTAGGGAAAAAGATTGAAACTACATGCCATGTTAACTACATAAATGAAATCTCAAGACATGAATTGAGCTTCCCAACTTTAGCCAACAAGACTTCTGAAAACAAGAATGTGAAACAGGAGGGAATACAGGTAATGAAAAAGGAAACATTTTGACACTTGCAAAGAAACGTTTCAGCGTTTACCCATTACCCAAAACTAAACCCAAAATGCGAAATCAGTGTTATACTCTAAGCTACCGCCTATGAACCTCAATTTCTGCCAAACCAAAACAGACCACAAACAACCAATTCAGGCCACATCAACCTCAAACAAACTTTTGAGCGATCAACAGGACCCCATCGGAATACAAGAAAGCGGCTACTTGAGCAAATAGACAAACAGGAGAAAGGAAAATGAAGGCAGCATAACGAAAAGGCAGCAGACATAAAATGCAGTAAGCAACGTGAGGATTTGCAGCAATTTCGTTCGATAACATTTCGGGTTTGAGTTTTGAAATGCCATCTTATAGGGCTACTGCTAGTCTCGAACATTTTGCATAGGGATAGGGAATGGTGTGACCGATAACAAAAGAAAGAAAGGAAAACGCAGCAAGAGATTCTGCAACAAAACAAGCAAGCTGCTGCGTTTTTGTTCCACCTGGCCGAGACAGGAATGTGCTAAGCAAGGGAGAATACGAGCAATGAGAGAAAAGACATTTTAACCTTTGCAAAGAACCACTTCAACCCCTTACCCCACTACTCAACCAGCGCAACTAAAAAAAATAGCAAACAAACCCCTAAAAAATATAATAATAATAAGCAAACTCAGACTTTAATCAAACAAACAATGCATCTAGCAATGTTGCTGCAACAAAACAGATGCCCTGTTGCAGTCTGTTGTTATACCGCAGATTGCTACTTTAAATTGCAGCCAGCAAATGCATGAGATTACCATCAAACCGCGGGCAAACCAAAAGGAGACTCAAACCATTCCAGAAAATTTCAGCAAAACGAAATGACTGGTCAACAATACGGCAACCTCCTTTTTGCAATTTTCTGCTGCAAATTTGCAGCTCAAACCCAAACAGATATTTTACAAAAAAGCGCACAGAAAACCAGCAACCAAATTGACATAAACCTTGAGCTTCTGTCCCCCAAACCCAGGTCAAGTTCTTTACTTTATGAACTCAAGATAAACTGCTCACAGCAAGAAGACACTATCGAGCAAGCATAGAAACAGTAGGTGGACAAAACAAACGTAGCGAATTTTTCTTTATATACACCTGGAGAACTGGAATCCAATCATGGCAAAACCGTCATCAATCAAAGGATAGACTTCAGCACAAGCAAATGCAAGCAAGGATAACAGGGAAGACAGAAAAATAACTTACAAAGCTCTGCCGATGATGATGGTGACTTCGTGAGCCCCAGAAAAGTTGCGATTCCTTGCTGATTCCTTCGATTCTCGATTTTCCTTTGCTTTGTTTTCTTCCCGAAGACCTTTCTCCTCTGTTTTCCTTGGCTTCAGTGGTTTTCTTCCTTTCTCAAACCCTCATCTTCTTCCTTCCGTTTAAGAAACCCTCGGTCTTTGCTTTTCCTTTTCCCTCTGTTTTTTCTTATCCAAACCCGTAGCCTTTTCTCTCAGCCTAGCTTTCGGTCCTTCACTTAGTTTTCCTTTCTCACCACCCACTATAGCCTAGGTTTTTCCTTTTGTCTGTTCTTTTCCTCACACTTTTCCGAGGCCTCTTTGCCAAGAACCCTAGCCGCCAAAACTTTCCCCTGTTTCTTTCTTTTTGCCGTCCCCTTATCACTCTTAGCTTACTCCCCAAAAACCCCCTCCTCTGCTTGAGCCGCCCTCTCTTCCTTTTATAACAAACAAAACACTAAACCCTCATCTAAAGGGTTCTGATGGAAGCCAAGTCATCAGCCTTGTGGATCATCCGATGCTGAACAAAAACAAAGAGTTGCGGTGCCTGCTTGAAATGTTATATGAAGAAATGGGCGCGGATCCTGTGTAGCTCGGGTGCATGAGCTTGTTTTCCTTTTTTTATTTCATTTTCGTTATTTTCATTTTTCTTTTTTTTTTCTTTTTTCTTTTGTTTTTCTGAAATTTAATATGAAGACAAAATAAACCAAAACAAAAATAAAATAAAATAAAAATAACAACCCTAGAATTGAAACAAATAAGCCCATTAAATTAATTAAATAAATAAAATTAAAAGATCAAAAATTTGGTGTC